AAATGGCAGGGATTGGCTGCACAGCCATTTAAATATTTTAGGGGAGGGCTTATTTTCAGGGGAGGGTTTACTTTAGCGCATGTGCTCAAAAGCCTGATTGGGCTTATTATCCGGGGAGTTCTTTTTTTCGGGGAAACAGGGTAGTGATCAACATTTAGAATTGTTCTCCAGATCCTACTGGTAACCAGGACCAGCATAGATGTAACATTGCAGGATTGTGATTGACCACCTAAATCCATGAGCACTCCACACTGGAACAACTAAAAATAATGTAGAGGTGACAAGGGCGTGTGTAACTCCTTCAGCATAGCCTATTCCAGATAAAGCCATTTTTGGTACATCACCTGAAGCTCTGCAAAAGTTGGCACAATCCTGAAACCATCCAGCCTCTAAATCAACAGCCATTCTGTCTTATTTCACTTGAACCTGAACCTTTTTTTCCCCCATCCAAATCTTGAGGGTCTCTAGACTGTTTGCTGGAGTTCTAAATGATTCCTAGCATCTGGGGAAGTGGAGGGAAGAAATGAAGAGGTGTGGTGGGGATTGTTGTGAAAATCTAAAATAATGCCTTTACTTAAGTTTCAGCACAATTACAATAATCTATGCAGCTGAAAACATTACAGAGGAATTCTGAATCCAAGAAGGCTCTCCCCATGTTCAACATTAGTCTTTCCCAATATGATAACCCCTGGATGAGTTGAATGAAGAGGATGTTAGCTAGAAAAGAGTTCGTTACAATCTCAGCCCTTCCCTTTTAGCCAGAGTGGATGGGGCTAAAAAGATACTAAAACTCATCCCTGTCTCCCTTAACTTTTCTTCTTCTTCAAACACATGAAGCAAGCTAGAATAAATATCCCATAACCTAGTCCCATGTTGGTGACTCTATGACACTCTGTGGGCATGTGATCCGCTGCCCGAGCTCAGCTTCACCACACATGTGCCGCACCTCACACCGGCCAGTTGATTTTTGGGCTGCAGGGGGGTTGCAGCATGCTCCCCCCCCCCCCCCCCC